TAATAAAAACCCAAGCCAGAATCACAATCTTTCTCAACGAGGAAGCAACATAGCATAATAGTAAGGAACTTGTTCTTTAGCATCAGACTGCTTATGTGCATAATGCTAGCTTTGCTGCTTCTTAGCTGCACCATAAGCAAGTTACTTCTCTGGCCACGGCTTCATCTGTAAAATAGGAATGATAACAGTACTTGCCTCCAAGAGCTGTTGTGAGGATTAAATGAGTTACAGTAAAACATTTTAGAACACTACCTGGCAAGAAGTGCTATATATATTATTGGCCATCAAGTCCTACTTATCTTTTCACTAAAATCACTCTCAAGTGCATTTCTTCTATTCCCACTGTCACTATTTCAGTTTATATTTTCAGATTTTAACAGTCACATTTATTCATTTTTCAAACAAATTTATAAATAGCTAGGATAAGAATGAACCAGTATTAGATTCTGGGGATAGAAAGATGGAAAACAGGTGTGCCTGGGTGGCTCAGTAGGTTAAGCATCTGACTCTTGATTTCAGCTCAGGTCATGATCTCAGGGTTGTGTGATCGAGCCCCATGTCGGATTCCGCAGCTTGACAGCCTCTGTCCCTCTCATTCTACCCCTCCCCTCCTTTCTCTCTCTCTCTGTCTCTTAAAAAAAAAGAAAAGAAACATGGAAAACAAATAAAAACCTACAATCTCAACCCTCAGTGGCTCTAGGGAAGTCCAGAACAAATAAATCAGAAATTACAGTACAACATAATTAGTGCCATATCAGAGGAATGCACGTGTGCACATGTATGCTAAGAGAATATAGAGAAAAAGATAACAAAAAAAGTGGTTTTGACTTCAACTTCCCCCAAAACAGACTTAAGATATATTTTCCATATTCCCCCAAAACTATGAATATACTCCTACTGGAGCACTTAACACACTGTATTGTGTCTACTGAATGTCCAAAGCCATCACAACTTTAACATGTCTAAAACAGACCTCTTAAGCCCCCCACTTGCACTTCTGTTGTCAACGCTGCCTCCACTATGTTCCTTCCCAGTCTTTCCCATGTCAAATGCATCATCATTTGTGCAGTGCCCAAGGGATTGTCTTTGTTTCCTCTTTCCCTAACCCCCAACAATGAACCCTGTTAGTTCTACCTCTAAAATATTTCCCAAATCCATCCACTTCTCAACATGCTTATTACCACCTCCATATTCATCTCCCACACCTTTACTGGAACAGTTCCCTAAGTGGTCTTTGTGCTTCTACTATTGCTCCCTACAACTTTTTTCCAAATTGATATCAAAACTATCACTTTAAAATCATGAGATCCTGCTCAAAACACTCCAGTGGCTTCCCACTGCAATTAGAATAAAAATCCAAACTTTTTAAGGTCCTACATAATTTGGCCCCTGCCTTCACTTCCCTAAATAGATCTAGTACTCTCTTTTTCACCCACCAGCTTTATTGGTTTTCTTTCTGTTCCTCTACTGTGCCAATCTCATTCCACTTCAAGGTCTCTGTCCTTGCTTTCCCTCTCTTTGGAACACTCGCTCAGCCCTGTGCATGGCTGGCTCCTTCTCTGGCTCAAAAGTCAGCATGTCTTCCCTGACCTCTTACCTAAAGTAGCCTCTCTCCTAGATACTCTCTCATCAGGTTATTTGCACTTAACACTATTTGAAATTATATCATTTATTTTTTCACTTGTTTATTGTCTGTCTCCCCACTACTAGAATGTAAACTCCAAGAGATCTAGGCTTTTGTCTGGTCACTGTTACATCTCTAATGCCTACAGAAGTGCCCAGCACAAAGTTGGTGGTCAATAGAACATTCTGAAAATAAAATTTTGATGATTCGAACAAAGTAGTTTCAATGGTGCAGATGGGGTAGAAGCACATTTAAAGAGGACTAATAAATGAGTAATTAACAAAAGGAAATAGAAAATGTAGACTTCTTTTAGGAAGCATAATTGTGAGATGAGAAGTAGAGCGAAAGATAGAAGACCACGCTTGTTGAAGGGTTGTTACAAAGGAGAAAAACTTTTTTCTTAATTCTCTTTATATCAAGGACTCCCTTCAGAATTAAACAAAAGCCCTGAGTCCTCCCCTCAGTAAAATAAAAACACATATAAAACTTTACAATCAATTTCAGGGGGTTGAAGAACTCCCTAAAGTTCCTGTGCTCTAGATTAAGAAGCCCTACAGTATAAACACATCGAAGATTCCTAAGACATGGGTTAATGTTAACTAATGGAGAAAGGCCACTGAGCCAATAAAAGGAAACCCAAATAAACAGCACGTGCACTGTCCTTTGAGACTAGAAAGAGGAAAGCAAGGTCAGGTGAAGATTTACATAAGAAGGGGTAGAAATTTGAAGAAAGTCCTGCCTGGTAGAATTTTCATTTTTTCATGAAATAGGAGTTCATGTGCTAAAAAGAAAAAAATATCAATCTTGAGCAAAATATCATACATATAATACATGCTCAACAAATGTCACCAAATATTTTGGTAGAATAATTAAAAATACTGGAGTATTTTATATGGGATTCTGAAATCTGGTTCCACAAAAAAATCAACTTGTTTTCTTTTTATAAAACTGTCTCCAAAAGTTTATACTGACAGATACTTTGAAGTAGGAAGGAATAGCCTTACTAACAGAAAGATGTAGAAAACCACACAGTTTTATGAATAATTTTGAGATAGGTTTTTGTATTATAAAAATAAGTGAAAAAAATGTTTTGGGAATTCACTTCAAACAAAACAGTAAAGACACAATGCTTAACCTTTCTTATGAAAAAGAAATAATCTCTCCAGTTATCCAACCAAATTCAAGCTCCTTACTTCTCTTCAATCCAAACTATTCTGTAAAGAAATAACTTGTCTTTTTAAAGGAGCATAAAACAATGGCCTTAGAAGTGATCATTTATCAAGACCTCTAAGAAACATAAGGGGTTAAGGAGTTGTTTTCAAGAGGCTTTCCTGAACTAAAAAATATTAATAATAAACTGATGTTAATCCCATAACTAAGACAAATAGAACTACCTTACTAACTAGCTTAATTCAAAAGATTATCATGGCGTACATGTATGAGAAAGTCCACAGCAGTGGTTCATGTTTACCAAAAACTGTAAAAACCTTAATAGTAGAGTAGCTAAACAGTAAACAACAAACTATAAGCAACAAGGATAAATCTTAAAAACAACGTTGGGTAAAGAAGCAAACTAGAAAGGAATATTTACTACAATTCCATTTATATAAAGTTCAAAAACAAGCCAAACTAGAATGTGCATGTTCACATACAAAGATGGTGAAACTCTAAGGAAAAGCAAGGAAGTGGTTATCATAGAAATCAGGATGGTGGCTACATCTGGGGAGAAGAGGGAGCATGTGATGAGAAAAGAGAATAAATAATAACACCTGCTCTGTCTCTGTGTATGGAATACTCTAAAAGCAAATTACCCTAAAACTGATCTAAGCAACTAAAAACAGAAAAGGAGCCAACGGAATCTCTACATCTGATTCTATGCTGGACTATAAGCAGTGACTTTTTCAGACAATAAACAAAATAAGATATATTTTGCAAGCTGCCATTAATGCCAAAATTTATTGTTTACTATAAATATTTCATTAATATACCTTCCTAGTTATTTCTTACTAATTAAAATTGAATGGTTTAGTTCCTTGAACAATTAAGATACAAACAAGAATCAGTTTTATCCTGAAGGCAGATTTGAATGTGACACTTTCCATTTACGTTTATAACTAACCTAGTTTCTTCTAGTTATAAACCAATTATTAGTCTATTTATTTCCTTACAGGTTAAAAAAAAAAGTGTACTTTAAATACTGAAAACCAGTGGGGGAAATTTAAAACAACGAATATCCTGCGATATAAGGGCCTGGAATGGAAGAAGGAAAACACTGGGGCTATGCCATCTATGCAAATCGTTCTTGAAGCCCTAATCCTTGACTATACCATCGGGCTCCCTGCTCAGTAGTGAGTCAGCTTCTCCCTCTGCCCCTCGCCCCGCCTGTGTGCTCTCTTTCCCTCACAAAAAAATAAAATCTTTAAAAAGAGAGAAAAAAAACAATAACAAAGTATTCCTATGCGTATTTAGGTATCAGGTCCATAATCGCCGCGGTTATTCAACTTTAGTCTCAGATGTGTTTTCAAACAAAACCCAGTTTACCTGCCTTTCCTGTGTATAATTTCTACGGAAATTATGTGAGATTTGCATGCAAATACCTACGTAATCTTGGCCCTTCCCCTCCCAAAGTCTATAAAGAGGCTTAGAAGTGAGAGGCGGGGAGTCAGGAAGACAGGTTGAACTCCCAAATCTCTGACTTCCAAATTCCTCACCTCCACTCCAGGCGTTTCTAAACAGAACAGTTCCCCCAACAACCAAGCGGAAAGCTGCCGCAGGAAGCGAAGCGGTCACCATAGGAACTGGGCTCAACCCTAAGCGCCCAAGAAACAACAACAGCGGCAAAGTTTGCTCCTGGAGGGCTTCCCTGGACGCAACTCTGTCCGCTACCGTCCCTCACAGCCGGTCAAGCAGGGAACTCCCACCTCAGAGATCACCCACAGCCCCTAATCCCCGTCACACCTGCCCTGTTGCAGGGCCTTCCGATCCAGGAGCTGCTTTATCCCAACCCGGTGCATCCCTGCTGCCTCTACCTGGAGCTCCGAGTCCCTCCCAGGGTTTCTCGGCCCGTCATCCTCCCCGGAGCTCATCTCGACGACTGGCAGGCTTTGACCTGCGCCAGGGATCCAGGTCCCTCTCCGTCTCCATCCTCCGCCCCTTTCCCTTCCCCTCCCACCCCCAAATCGACCTGGCCCCACCCCAGCGGAGGCAGAGGGAGGCGGGACCCGTAGGGAAGGAGGCGGGGGCGGTTAGCGCCGGTCGGCGCCGCCGTCGGCCCCGCCCTCACGCTCTGTACCTGAGGGGGGCTAGTCCTCCACCTCCCCGGCGCCTTCGCTCCGCTTCCGTCCCGCGCGCCCCCAGTTCCCGTGCGCACGCGTACCTGGCTCGACCCTCCCTCTCGCGGGGACTACACCCGTGCGCGCACAGCCACGCACGTAGAGACGCGTACGGCCACCTGTCCCCCTTACAGGGCGCGTAGTAGAGGCCTCTTCCGGGTCCATCCGCGCCGCGCAGGCTTACGCCCACGCAGCGCTTAGACGTCCCACACGAGCGTCCCGTCTCCTAGTAACCAGCCGCTGCCTGCTTCATTTAATTCTTACTCCCTGCCTGCGGCCGCCGCACCCACATAGAACACGCATGCGCAGGGCTGTATCTCCTCCTGCCTCCTTCCTTCGGCTCTAGAACACCTGCTGCTTCACTATTGCAGCTTTGCGGCATTTTTTTTCCCCTAGGGATACGGTACCGTTTTGGACCCAAGTTCAGTGAACTCGTTACTCCCTAGAGCTGCTTTTGGGCACTGGGAGGTTGTTGAGCTCTCCTGCCGTAGCCAGGAGCCGGTTTTCGGGGAGTTTCCTAGGTCGGGTTCTGCGGCTGCATCCTCTCGGAAGAGGGCAGTTCTGTTCGGGTAAGCGCCTGCAGCCTGCGGAGTCAGCGAACCCACGACCGGGTCAGCTCTGCATGATTCAGTCATGGTTGAATCGGGAAGTGGCAGAACTAGCAATGAAAAGGCGCAGATTCCTGACTGGTATTCCTTCTCCACATGCCAGTTCTTCTCCGAGACCCCTTTCCAGAAAAACTGATGATGGTTAACAAAAGAGGAAAGGGTATACTATCTCACTTGATATTTAATATTGTATCGATCGTTTGCCTGTTTAATACCATTTACATTTGTCTTCTCCCGAGTAGGAGCCTTCAGTCTTGGAACACTAATTTAACCAGGTGTGATATTTTTGGCCATCCAACTATGTTAAAATTAACCACATTACCTAAAAGTGGAGAAATGAGTTTTTAGTGAAAAAGAAAGAGGACTGCATTACTCTGCCAAATTTTGGGAGCCCGGCTTGGAAAGAAATACTGTTTTTTAAACATTTCTTAATATTGTCTTAACCCAAGGGCTTCTGAATTCTAATGGCTTTATCTGCTTGTCTTTTCCTACAGGTGAAATAGGTAACTAGATTTTTATAGCTGTTCTCTGATGATCTTGATTAAATTTGCACCTCTGTATTTCAAAAGTAATTTCACATTTGAAGAGACTAACAATTCCTGTTTTTCCCAGGTGAGTACTCCTCCCCCCCCCCCGCCCCGGTAATATATTATTGGCAGTCATAAACACATGTTAGAACAAATTTCTCCGCAGAAGTACATTTAATTATAAGTGCCATATGTTCTCCCCATTTCTGCTCTGATTTCACCATTATTTGTGCCATTACATCTCCTAGTTTGTAGCATTTTTTTTTCAGCTATCATATACTTTGTGGGTATAGCCTAGACACTAAAAAATTAACTTGAGTGTCCTTGTTCTTTTAAAGAATTCAGAGGTTTCAAGAGGTACATTTCCTCTGAAATATAATTATGCCTAACTGATAAAATAAGTTACAAAGAAACATGAACTGGAGCCTGCCTGGCTCAGTTGGTAGAGCATGTGACTCTTGCTTGTGGGGTGGTGAGTTCAAGCCCCACATTGGGTGTAGAACTTACTTAAAATTTTTTTTAATTAAAAATTTTTTTTTTAATTTTAAAATTAGGGGCACCTGGGTGGTTCAGTTGGTTAAGTGTCTGCCTTTAGCTCAGGTCATGATCTCAGGGTCCTAGGCCAGTGTCCAGCTCCCTGCTCAGCTGAGGGAACCAAGGAGGTATAGGGAAAAAAAGACCTTCCCCCCGTTCATCCTCTCTCTCTCACTCTCTCTCAAATAAATAAATAAAATGTTTAAAAAAGTACTTTCCTACCTTCCATATTAGTACTTCCCTTACGGAAAATGTAAGAAAAGCTTAAGCATTTATGTGCACCAACTAGATGTTACTGAAGATTCTTTGGAAAGACTGTAGGGAAAAGGACATTTTAAGGCCAAACCAGGGCATGAAGATTTTCCTTTCTTTCCTATCAAGGACTGTTGATTTTGTCCCCCAACCCAAGAAAGTGAATATTTTCTTCCCTCTGTGGAATTCCAGAGTGGTAAGTGCTCCATCCTGCCCCAACTAATCCTTTTATAGTACCTGTGCTCTCCTGCTGTTATACTCCTGTGTAATTCTAAGGTCTGGGTTTTCTGTTCCCTTAGTTTCCCCCATCATTTCACAAGCTTCACTATGAAAGTCTCTATTTTGAGGTGCCTGAATAGCTCAGTCAGTTAAGCTTCTGCCTTTGGCTCAGGTCATGATCCCCAAGTTGGGCTCCCTGCATCAGGCTCCCTGCTCAGGGGAGAGCCTGCTTCTCCCTGTGCCCCTCACCCAACTTGTGCTCTCTCTTTCTCTCTCAAATAAATAAAATCTTTAAAAAAAAAAAGAAAGAAAACCTCTATTTTGTCTTTTTTCCCCTATACCTCCTTGGTTCCCTAAGAAAAAAATTGGGGACTCCAATTGAACATATGTTAAGTTGCTTGATGTTGTTCCACAGCTAACTGGTGCTCTGTTCATTTTAATACATCTTTTGATATATCTTCAAGTTTGCTCTTCTTTCCTTTGGCAGTGTTAACCCCATCCACAGTATTTTTTATGTCAGAATTGTTTTTTTCATCTCTGGGAGTTTAATTCTTTTTAATATCTTCCATTTCTAACTTCATCATACTCATGCTTTGCTCTATCTTCTTGAAAATATGCAATATATTTAAAATAGCTGATGAAGTCCTTGTGTACTAATTCTATCACCTGTGTCCTTTCTGGGTTTGTTTCTATTAACTAATTTTTTTTCTCCTGCTTATGGGTCATATTTTTCTGCTTGTTTTGCCTGGTTAATTTTTTTGGCTGCCAGACATTGCAGATTTTACATTGTTGGGTGCTGGAAGTTTTTGTTTTTGTTTTTCTTTATATTTAGGCTTCCTTCTGAGATGTAGTAATGTTACTTGGAAACAGTTGTATCATTTAGAGCTGCACTGTCCAAAATAGTATGTGGCAAATATGACAAATATGTGGCATTTTGAATTTATATTAATAAAATTAGATAAAACCTAAATTATTAATATGAAATAAGATTATATATTAAATATTATATTAAATAAAATTAGATAAAACTTAAGATTTCATTTGCACTATGTACATTTCAAATTCCAAAGCCACATGTGGCTAGTATAGTGGACAATAGATAGAGAATATTTAAATCATTGAGGAAAGTTCTGTTGGACAGCAATGCTTTAGAAGCTTGCTTTTAAGCTTTGTTACATCCAAAATACTCTTTAGGGCTAATCTGGCCTCTTTCTGAAGCCAGTACCTTTCTGAGGACTCTGATCAATGTCCCGTGTGTTAGTTTTTTACACTCAGGCTGGTGGGAACTCCATTCCTGACCCTGTGGAAGCTCTGCAGACTATTCAGCCTTTTCCTTTTTGGTGGTTCTTTCTCAGGCCCCAGTAGTTTCCTTGCACATGTGTTTCCTGATTAGTACTCAGCCAAAGAATTGTGGGGAATCCTCTGCATATCTCTGGAGCTCTTTCTCTCACTGCCCCTTTCTCCACAAGTTCTAGTGACTGTGGCTTCTACAGACTCTGAACTCCTGTCTTCTCAACTCATTGAAATAACCAGACACACTGTGGGTTCCCCTTCCTTGTGCAGAAGCCTGAAATCTCTAAGCAGTGAACACTCATAGCGCTCACCTCGTTTATTTCCTTTCTCTCAGGGATTACTCTCCTACACAGCTTTTTGTCCATTATCTAAAAACCATATGTTTTGTCTATTTTATAGTAGTGGTTTGCAATTTAAAAATTGCTTCAGACTGAGGGAACTGTAAGTGCATGAGCCCTAAAGCAGAAGAGGGGTTAGCACAGCATGTACTTAGGAACGGCAATGAGGTCATGGGGCAGAATGAGTGAGAGAGATAGGAGTTTGAGAAGACAGAATGTTAGCTGGTATATCAGTCTCCTATTGCTGGTGTAATAATTTACCACAAACTTGGTGGCTTTAAGTAACGCAAATATATTATCTTACGGTTCTGGAGGTTAGGAGTCCAAAATGGATCTCACTAGAGTAAAATCAAGATGTCAGCTGGGCTGTATTCCTTGTGGGGGCTCTCAGGGAGAATCCATTTTCTTGCCTTTCCAGCTTCTGCAGAATGCCTGCTTTGTACAGCTCATGGTGTCCTTTTATCTTCAAAGCCAGCAATGGCCAGTCAGGTCCTACCCACATTGCATCATTCTAACAGTGACATTCCCACCTCTCTTTCACTTATGCAGACCCTTGTGATTATATTGATAACCAGTGATGAGAGCAGGATAATCTCCCCACCTCAAAGTCACTTGACTGGCAACCTTAATTCCATCTGCAACCTTAATTTCCCCTTGCCATGTGACATATTCACAGGTTTTAGGAATTAGGATGTGGACTTCTTTGGGGACCATTATTCTGCCTACCACAGCTGGAGACTCAATATGTAGACAATTTTGCTTTCACTCTGACATGGAAGGTACCTAGAGCAGAGTGGTGAGCAGAGGATTGATGAGATCTAGCTTATGTTTTAAAAGGCTCATTCCAGATACAGTTTGAGGAAAATACAATGGGAAGGGTTGGGCAAGAATAGAAACAGAAACAGGATTCATTGAAGGATTAGATGTGTAATATGAAATAGGAGCTAAAAATTACTCCACCAGTAATGCACAAGGTTTCCCATCATCCTATATTCTCCTTAATTCTCCATGTTATCCACCTTTCTAGTGTGCCATTCAGATGGTAGTAAACTTGCATTTCTCTGGTTCCTAGTAAGTTTGAACATCTCTTTATGTACTCATTATCTATTTGGGATTCTCCAATCTGTGAATTATGTCTTTACATCCTTTGCCCATTTTCCTATTGGATTTCCTTTTTTCTTGTTGATTTGTAGTTATTGTTCTTACATTCTAGCTGTAAATCCCTTGTCTGCTTTATAGAGCACATCTTCCAATCTCCATCATTTTAACTTTGTTTATAGTTTCTTTATTGAATAGAAGTTAATTGTGAGTAATCAGGTCCATCTGTTTTCTTCCTTATTCTTTAAGCCTTTTAGTTTTTATTCAAGAAATCCTTCTCCACCCAAGGTGACAAATATATTGTCCTGCATTTTTAAAATTGCATTTATAGTTCTGTGATTCACATCTGGGTCTTTACTGCATTTGGAGTCCACTTTTGTTTGTATATAAAATAGGGATCCTGCTTTATTTTCATCCCCATCATGAGCTGGTATTCACAGTACTATCCTACTAAACTTAGTCTGTTCTATCCCCTTTGTTGTATGGTGCCACTTTTACCATTTGTGAAGTTCTGGCACATGACTAGGTCCAAATTGGAACTCTGTCATGTTCTGTTGGTCCTTTGTTCCTGAACCTGTACTAAACTGTACATTTTTTTTTTTACTTTCACTTTGTGGCATATCTAATGATAAGGCAAGTCTCCTGTTGTGTATGTCCAAATTTAGTTTCTAATGGAACTTTATTCTTCCTTATGCATTCAAGATTTCTTCTTGAATGGCAATCTGAATGCCAGGCCAAAGAGGCCCCAAATAGACTTGTTCTCCCTTCATGTCCTCAAGATTCCAGACAAGTTAAGGTGAGACTCAAAGGGCCAAATCTA